AACGGAGACAAGGAAAAAAAAAAAAAAACAAAAAAAAAAACAGCAAACCTGCTGCTGCCTCCTCTCCGTTGCTCCATGCATGCACTGAGGCGGACCACCCAGCATGTAGCTAGCTAGCTAGCTAGCTAGCTGGCTGGCTAGCTAGCTATCTGGCTGTACAGGGGGAGAGCTAGCTATCTGCGGCGGCTAGCTGCTTAGACCTATGGCTAGCTAGCTAGCTGGCTGGCTCGCTGAGTAGCTAGCCCACTGGCTAGCTAGCTAGCTGACTAGCTAGTTAGCTAGCTAGCTAGCTAGCTAGCTAGCCGTCGCAGGTGACCCCGGCTTGGTGGCTGTCTTGGGTTGCTGTGCTGGCGCTGCGGTGTCTATACACCTCGTGCCTGCGGCTGAATACTCCTAAACCCTAAACCCTAAACCCTAAACCCTCACAACACTCGCTATTCCTAGTGTATCGGGACCACGGGAGCGGGAGCTGCTGGCTAGCCGGCACCTAAACCCTAAACCCTAAACCCTAAACCCTAAACCCTAGAGAGTAAGTAATGAACCACAAAGGAGGATTACTGCTTCTGCTGCTGCTTGTTTCTGTGCTGCAGCGCATGTAACCCTCCTAGCAGCAGCTGCAACAACAGCAGCGACGGGGCCAGGAGCGGGGGCAGCAGCAGCAGCAGCAGCAGCAGCAGCAGCAGCATCTGGTGCTGCTACTACTGCACGTGCAGCAGCGGCAGCAAGGGGAGGCCTGAACAGCCTTCTATTTCCTCTTTGCTTTTATTTTATATATATTAATTAGCTATAAATAACATAGCAGCAACAGCAGCAACAGCAGCAAACGCAGCAGCAGCAGCAGCAGCAGCAGCAGCAGCAGCAGGCCGAGACCGCTGGTCGTGCCAGCCGCAGCTGCTGCTGTTTGTGCTTCGATTGCTTCTTTGTGTTATTTTTCTTCTTTTATGTTTATCTTCTGTAGAAAAAATAATTAAATAAAACAAGTTTCATACATCTATGCATCTGCTGAGGTGAAATAAGGCCCATTACCTGCAGCAGCAGCAGCAGCAGCAGCAGCAACGACAGCAGCAGCAGCAGCAGCAGCAGCAGCAGCAGCAGCACAGGCGGCGGCAGCCTGGTACGCAACAGCAGCAGCGCAGCAGCAGCAGAGGCCCTACAAACAGAACTGAAGACGAAAGGTTTTATTTTACTTTTCTCTTTCAGATAAACCCTAAACCCTAAACCCTAAACCCTAGACGGTGTAGCTGGCGCAGTCGATGGCCGACAGGGATCTGCCGCTGCAGCAGCAGCTGCAGTTGCAGAAACTACAGCAGCAGCAGCAGCAGCTGCAGCATCTGCAGCAGCAGCAGCTGCATCATATACAGCAGCAGCAGCTGCACCAGCAGCTATACCTGCAGGAGCAAGCAGAGCAGCAGCTGCAGCAGCANGCTGCAGCAGCATATACAGCATCGGGGCCCCTCTCTGTACGGGCCCCATCCAGGCTTCCCTCTGGCGTATCCCTACTCTCCCCTGCAGCAGCAGCAGCAGCAGCAGCAGCACTTCGCCTCAGCAGCAGCAGCAGCAGCAGCAGCAGCAGCAGCAGCAGGAGATGAAGGCCTCAGTCTCCTCAGCTACCCTTCCTGTGCTGCTATGCTGCCGGGGAGCTTTCTGTATGAGGATAGCTGCTGCAGGCCGTTGGCTGTATATGGAGAGAGCAGCAGCTTCTATGTGCAGCAGCAACTGCAGCAGCAGCAGCAGCAGCAGCAGCAGCTAATGCAGCTGCAGCAGCTGCAGCTGCAGCACCATGAGTACCATCAGCTGCTGCTGCTGCAACAGCAGCAGCAACAGCAGCAGCAGCAACCAGCAGCAATCCAAGACTCAACAGCAGCTCAACTAAAAGACAAGCTCTGCTCCTCTACCCCTACAACAGCAGCAGCAGCAGCAGCAGCAGCAGCAGCAGCAGCAGCAGCAGAAGAAGAGGGTAGTACTGCATGCGCTTCTCCCCTCGAAGCTCCTCTTCCTTCTCCCTATAACAAACAAAACAAAACGCAGCAGCAACAACAACCCCACCACAACCACCAAGGGGCCCTCAGCAGCAGAAACAGCAGCAGCAGCGAGACCATCGCACACGCTGCTGCTGCTGCAGCAGCAGCAACAGCAACAGCAGCAGCAACAGCAGCAGCAGAGTGTGACGGAGAGGGGGGCGAGCTGCTGCAGGACGATTCTAAGAACGAAACAGAAGGAGATTTTGCTGCTGCTGCTGCTGCTCCAGCAGCAGCAGCAGCAGCAGCAGCAGCAGCAGCACAGGCTCCTGCTGCTGCTGCTGCTGCTCCAGCATATAATATCTTTAGCAGCGAATTTGCTTCCTCTGAAATAATTAGCAGCAGCAGCCTGCCGCTGCAGGCGCAGCCGGACTTCTCTCCTGGTGTAAGAGGATACCAGCAGCAGCAGCAGCAGCAGCAGCAGCAGCAGCAGCAGATGCTGCTGCTGCAGCAACACCAGCAGCAGATGGACGATGACGTCCCTCTTAGAGTCACCTTACCCCCCACCATGGGGGGGCTGCATTCGCAGCTGCCGCTGAGCAGCAACAACTGCAGCAGCAGCAGCAGCAACAGCAACAGCTGCAGCAACAGCAGCAGCAACTGCAGCAGCAACTGCAGCAGCAACGCTTGCATGCCTTCTTGCGGGATGCATTCTGCTGCTACTATGTTCTATGGCTGCGGCCTTTCAGCAGCAGCAGCAGCAGCAGAAGCAACAGCAGCAGCAGCCCGCCATGTGCTTCATCAGCAACGACAGCAGCAGCAGCAGCAGCAGCAGCAGCAGCAGCAGCAGCAACTGCAGCAGCAGCAGCAGCAATGGAAAACGCAGCGATACAGGTATGCAACACAGACGTATAGAGACGTCCAGCGTATGTCTCCTGGTATCTTTATAAGCAGCAGCAACAGCAGCAGCAGCAGCAGCAACCACCGGAGCAGCAGCAACCACCGCAGCAGCAGCAGCAGCAGCAGCAGCAGCAGCAGCACAGACCGCGACCGCAGCAGCTATGACGTCAGGCCCGAGGCTGAGGCCCTGCGGCTGCCCGTCACTACCTACGATGCTGTAGCTACACTAAGACACGCAACCCTGAAGCACCCGCAGCAGCAGCAGCAGCAGCAGCAGCAGCAGCAGCAGCGGGAGCAGGAGCAGATGCTGCTGCTGCTGCAGCAGCAAGAAGAACAGCTGCAGATGCATATACATCGACAAATGCAGCAGCAGATCAAGGAACAGCAG